TGGCCCCGCGCGTCCCGTTTCTGCGCGGCCCCCCTCCCAGCTCCTCCTTCTTCCTCCCATGTCCCATTTTGCACCCGTTGCCAGCGGCCCACACACGCCGGAAAACGCCCCGCGCGCCGCCGCGGCCGCACGGGCGGCGCCAGCACATGCCGCCGCCCCGTTTTCGCCCGCGCCCCGGCCCCCTGCGTGCCGCGCCAGCGCCCCCCAAAAAGCCCTGCCCGCGGCGGCTAAGGGCCGCCAAAACACCGCCCCCAGCGCCGCGCCGCCAGCGCCGCTGGCCGCCGAAAGCGCCCTGGACAGCGACGACGACTTCTACACGCCCGGCAGCCCCGCGCTCGCGCAGTCGCGGGCGTTTTTGCTCCAGGAATCGGTCGCCAGGGCGCGTGTCCGTGTGGCCCGCGAGAAGGCCCAGGCCGCCGGGCACAACGCCACCAAGACGCTCCGCCACCGGCGCGGGATCGCCGCGCGCGCGGCCGCCTTTGCCTTGCACGGCTCGTACACCATGGCCGGCAACCTGCGGCAGCTCAGCCGCGTGCGGTACAGCCGCTCCGGAACGGCCGTGGCGTGCAGCCTGTGGGCCGGGCATTTGCATCTTTTGCACAAGGACAGCAGCGGCTTCTACCGCGAGACGCACCGGCTGGCGCCCGGGCACCACGCGCAGATGGCCACGGTGGCGTGGAGCCCGGGCCACGAGCGGTTGCTCGTGCTGGGCGGCGCGGAGGGCTGCATCAACGTGTGGCACGCGCCCGGCGCCGCGGACACGACGGCGCTCTTGCCGGCGGCGAGCACAAAACACGCGCACGGCGCGCGCGTGGCGCAGACCGCGTTCCACCCGGGCGGCACGCTCTACGCGTCCGCGTCGCACGACCACACGTGGAAGTTGTGGGACGTGGCGCGGCCCGCGCGCGAGTTGGTGGAGCAGGAGGGCCACGCCGGCGAGGTGCACCTGGTGGCGTTCCACCCGGACGGCGGGCTCGCGGCCACGGGCGGGCTCGACGCGCACGCGCTTCTCTGGGACCTCCGCAGCGGCCGGCGCATCGCGGCCTTCGAGGGCCACGCGCAGGGCGTGTACAGCATGGACTTCTCGCCCAACGGGCGCCACCTCGCCACGGCCAGCGGCGACCACCTGGTGCGGCTCTGGGACTTGCGCAGGCCGGGCGCGGAGCTCTTTGTGATCCCGGCGCACACGCGGCTCGTCAGCGACGTGCGCTTTGTGGGCAGCGCCGCGGGCTTCGGCGCGGCGCCGGCAAGCGGGGGCTCAGAATGGGCGGACCCAGAGCCGGTGGACCCAGAGCGGGCGGACCCAGAGCGGGTGGACCCAGAGCGGGCGGACCCGGAGCGGGTGGACCCAGAACGGGCGCTCTCCTCACCGCTCCCCCCACAGCACAGAGGCCTCGCCGAGCCCGTCACGGACGACAACGACGCACACCCAGAAACGCTCCCGGTGGCGGGCACCTGCCTCGTCACAAGCTCCTACGACAACACGGTCAAGGTCTGGTCGGCAGACAACTGGGTGCACATCAAGACCTTGCACGGGCACACGGACCGCGTGCTGAGCTGCGACATCCGCAGCGACGGCGCCGAGATCCTCAGCTGTGGTTGGGACCGCACCATGCGGGCGTGGGGCTTGGGCGATGCGTGAGGGTCCTGGTACCGGCTCTGGGAGGCTGCACGGGCATCCGGCCTCTTCTCTCTTCCAAAAATAGGTGAGATGAAGCGGAGCGTACAGAGCCCTTAGGATCATCTGGCGCTTGCCTCGCGACTGCTGACCAAAAAAGGCGCCGCAGTTCAGCAGCACCGTCATCCCTAGCTGTCGAAAATCCTCCCATGTTCATTGTGCCAATGGTACGTGATTGTGTCTCATATCTAGAGTTGAATAGGGAATAGCATCAATGGCCACATGGCTATGGTAAATGTTCTTCATGGTATCGCAAGGATTGCAGCAACAGTGTTATGAAGTCCAATATCTCCAAACTAAAAGTTGTACTTATGTTTGGTTTAGCTAGAGTCAATTAGTGAATCCGCTTAGCTCTAACTGAGTTGGGCAAAGTTGATCAAGCCCGTATTTCGCAAACCAGGATCAATGGAAAATACCTCGATTAATATCTTTTTTGTTATTAATTATTTTCTATTCAGAATCAATAGTAGTTTTTCTAAGAGATTTTTTTCTTCTTCATAGATATATTTATGAGGTTTAATCATTCACGCTTTCTTGTTATTTGATATGTTTCAGTATATATTAACATAAGCTCTCCGGGGTATGCGGCTCCGTCAGGCATTGATAAGCTGGGTTGACAGATGGATAGGGTACTTTCATTATGCACAACAAAAAAAAATTATGTTGTTTACTCATAAGTCACCTCAAAGTATTTATAATGAAATATTATTATGTATAACAAAAGATTAATTAGGAGAGGGACAAGATAAAACAAGCGTAAACTTTGAAAGAACTAAAATGAATAATCTTATCAATAAATGGTCTCTGGTAATTCGAATAGCATCGTCACATACTATTTGGCCTAAGAGCTGATCACTCATGTTCGAATCAAAAATAGCAATGAAAACTAGATTCATAGATTCTCGAGCTTCTGATCTATGTAGATATATAGCATCTTTTGAATAACCAGAAAATTTTAAAAAAAAACATAAGCTTGTATACAAGAATTAAAAAATTCAAGTATAGTCCCATGATTTGTTTGACTTAAAGGACATGCGGCTTCAAATTGAAAACCTCAAGAAACAAGAAGGCCAAATAGACACCCAATCAACTTTAAATGCTATAATGTTGACATTGATGTCTTGGCTGTCGAAACTTGAGAGTGGGTAAACCTCAATGCGATGGTGATTTGACTTCCACATTGACCCTTCCTTTTCTTCCTTGATTTTGGATCCGTGTAGTCTTGATCTTCACAGAATACTGCATTTGGTTTTCAGTCTGTTTGTACTGATATGTTGAAGCAGCAACCACATTCAATTAAAGGAGCATGTCCATTTACTGCTTCTCCTTCGATACGCACATCCCAAACATATATGCAATATTATATCCGTGTGAATCATGGAGCCTCAATTCTGAAATGTGTTTCAAGGAAGCTTCGCTCTACATCTCACAATATAGTCAGCAAGCAGAATGGCTCCCCAGGAAGTGACCGTGTCATGTTTTTGCCAGGTCAAATAGGACTTTACATAATTTTTGCAGAGCCATCAAAACCCCCTCATAGTAAAATTTAGCTCTTCCCCTGTCTTAACCATGGTCGAAAGCATCCTTTCGAGCATGAATCGATTGTATGGCCTCCGTGATATAGTGAAAAAAGAGCGAATTGGCAGTAATAGTTCTTGATTCTAGCAATACCACCTTATCCAGGGTGAATTCTTTACAAAAGAAAACCTTGATATACAGTACGCTGCCAACAGGTGTTAGAGAACGAAGCTGTATACCCCACGGAGCTTAGAATATAAATTAGATCAAATAGTACAGATGGCCCTGGTTGGCGTTGTCATTAAGTTTCTGGTTGCGGCTTTTTCCTGATAGTGAATCTTTGTCAGTCTCTGCCCAGCCAAAAGCCGAAAAGCATCTGAACTTAGATGAATCGATACAGTCTTAGGCTATGTCGTATTCTTTGCACAGCCATTACCCAGCTGTCTACGTAGAGAAACTCTTCTGGACAGGATATCGAATGGAACATTCGCACCCAAAATCGCACCCAAAACTCCCACCAAAACTCACACCAAAACTCACACCCAA